CTAGCGTCCTCTTTCTGGCACTACTGCTCGTAAGAGAAAAAAAAATATACTTTGGATTTAATGTTAATACTAGTTCTTTATATACATTTCATGTCAAATATTGAATACGAGTTAAGTTAAGAATAAATAGAAAGGTCATAGGCGATAGAGAGCATGTAAATAATTAGATAATCAAGATTAAAATAGAAAAATCATAATTTAATAAAGCAAATTAAGTACGATATAAATAGCTGAGAAATGTAATATGATTAAGTTAAGAAGCAAGCAAAGAAATTAATGTAACAAGAAATTTTATAGGTCCAACCAGAAAATACTAATCATATATTTATAGTAAAATCTATTAAACGTTCTGGTTATAAAAAAATCGAGTCTTATCATGATAACTAGAAATTCTTGTTTGATTTAATGCCTTCAATCATATACATCTTGTTAATACACACTGAGAAAAAAATCTGGTTGCATTAATTAGAATTCTGATAGATTCAATCAGTATAGCTGTTGGAAAATGGACGAACCAGAATTCTTGTAGGAATTACCAGATGAATCTGATTAATTTCTTTCTGTTAAATTTACCAAATTTTCTGGTTAATAATACTAAACTCGTCAGCACCAAGTCGTCTAAAATTTTGTCCATCTAATCTCAAAAGCCTGTTTAATATTCTGAATTTCAACAAGATTATAGGATAAATTCAATCCAGATTATTGAATAAATTATTTTAAATTCAGTTTGTTAGAAATTAAACCGATAAACAGTGATGCAAGAAGAGGATGCAGCTCAAACACACACAATCAGAGAGCTAGAATCAAGATCAAACGATTTTTCTCAATGTGGGAATTGCGTTACGATCACTTAGCACGCTAATAAACGCGCGAGAAGAGGTTTAAGTATCACTCACGTTTGAGTATTTACATACGAGGATGGAAACGAGAGAGAAACGAGGACGAACGCGATTATCTTCTTCAACAAGCAGCGTGATTCGCTTGAAGATTCACGTAGGTATCACGGTCGATTTGCGGAATCGCATGGGAAAATGACAGAGATGAATCGTACGTGTCCGAATCGTATTTTTTACGGAAAATAATAACTAGTTTTCTATGATACGATCTCATCTCTTCGATCAATTTGTCCAATTTGTCACGTTACTTTGCAAGACGTAGACTCGTCGCTTAAATCGAATGACGCGAGCATTAGTCATCTGATTCTGATCACAGAGTCTTTCCTGGATACGTGGAATTCAATAAACTCACGAGTTTAATAATTTGTCACATTCGTGTTACATTGTGCAAAATGTTAATGTAATTCATTCTTTTTTTTCTAAATAAAATGCTTATTGCATTAATAGCATTATGTCATTTGTATGAATATATTATTTCGTTGAATTATAAATATGATTATAGAGATATGAAAAATATTTTTAGCCGGTTTTATTTACATATTTTTTTAAATAATTTATGGATAATATTTCTTAGTTGATTTTATTTATATAAAACGCTACCAGAGACATTTGCGATAAATTTTTGATTAGTTAAAGTTTGTTTATCTTCATTAATGTTGCACCAGTACTGCTCTTAATCATCTTGCACGCTTGTTTTCTGATTGTTTTTTACAAAATAATTATCAAGCTGTCAAGCTGTCGTTCATCAAGTGTTCTGCATATAAATTAAAAGCAGCCGGTGACATTGAGAGATTACGCGCTATTTGCATAATGACTGACCCAAAGACGTCATTTGAAATATCAAGGGATTTTTTGTCACTCCAGGAAATCGCTTCTTTATCGTATTATAATTATCGATCTTGCCCGGCAAGATAATTCGCGCGTATGACGCATAATTAGACATAGTATTCAATTATTAATAGGATTATTTTTTAATTTCGCCGACAATGAATCAGTTTAGCTCTTACGATTACGAAGAGCTTATACGTACGAGATTGTCCGGAAAGATCTGACGGGAAGATGAAGTCTTCCGTGAACACGGTGAAAAAGAAAGATTTATTTCAAAATCATGTTTATCCGCCTCGACTAGATTTTAATTTATCACTGCCGTGCTAATTAGAGTATAAATGCTGAATCGTTTACATTTACATCGATAAACGAGCGGCGTTATATGTTTTTTTTTTTGCGCGCGAAGAATCGCGGTTTTTTTTATTTTTTTTTCTCCTTTTCGCAAGAGACTAACATTGCGCACCTATCTCATATCGGCATCTCTCTCCCTTTTCTTTTTTTCTTGCATGCACCTTTCTCCCTGGTATCCCCTTCTCTCTCTCTATCTCTCTCTTCCTATTTCGCCTGTTGGCTCGGCTCGCTTTCGAACTCTGCTAAGTAACTGTACTTGCGTTTCCTGTATCTCTAAATTGGTAACGCGATCCAAATCGGCGCGTAGCGGCGAATCGAACTGTATCGAAAGTCAGAATGTACCGTGGAGAACATGAAACGCGAAGCTCTACCTCATCGTGACAAAAATGTAATACGTAGCTGCACATAAGTGCGTATATCGTACATACCTTAGGTGATCTGCCCTAAGGTGATACACTGTAAAAAATTTTTGTGTAAATTTACAACTATTATAGTGGGTAATATTGAGACCAACTATTAAAGGTGTATATTTACATACATTAGTAAATTTATATTTCATAGATAAAATTAGTATCTTAAATGGTAAGTAAGCATCTTGTACTAATAAGTTTACATGTTAGAAGTAGATTTCTAGAAATGTTTATGTAATAATACATTTTGTATATGTATTTATACAATTTCACATATTAAATTTCATTTAAAATTACATACATAATTAGTGTAACAATTACGCTATTTATAGCGAAAATATATAAATTCATGTACTTTCACAAAAATTAGTTAGTCTTTAGTGTGTAAATTTTCGTTTATTAAGTGTAATTTTTAAATTTTATATAAATATTACAAAAAATTGTACATTTACATAAAATCCAAAAATTACACTTTTAACCTTGTAATTTCTCATCAAATATAAACGAATATTTACACAATAAAGAGTAAAAAAACTAATTTTTATAAAAGTACATGAATTTATATATTTCCGTTATAAATAGCGTAATTGTTACACTGATTATATGTGTAATTTTACATACTTTTTTTACAGTGTACATAGGATTATTGAATGAGCAGATTTGATCACTCTGGAAATAATTAAACTACTTTGCCACGAATATATGTTTGACCGAAAAGAGATTCCGGATCTAATTAATATAAATAATAACATGATACATAAATATGCGCGTATATATCATTCACACCTTAGGGGATCTGCCCTAAAGTAATATATAGGATCATTGAATGAGCAGGTTTCATAGGTCTGAGAATGATTAAACTACTTTGCCACGAACATATGTTTAACGGAAAATGGATTTTGAATCTAATTAATATAATAAATAAGAACATGATGCATAAATATGCGCGTATAAATCGTACACACCTTAGGGGATCTGCTCTAAAGTGATATATAGGATCATTGAATGAGCAGGTTTGATCACTCTGAGAATGATTAAACTACTTTGCTACGAACATATGTTTGACCGAAAATGGATTTTGAATCTAATATAAATAATAACATGATACATAAGTATGCGCGTGTATCGTACACAGAAAAAAAGGACATTCTTGTTTTGAAAATATATTTAGTTTTAACGTGGAAATCTTGAAATGAGATTATATTGTGTTAATTTTAGAAAAATATAATTGCTTGAATAATTGCTTACTCGAATGAAACCATTTTATATAGTTCAATCAAGAAAAATATATTCTTATGATTTAAGATTTAATTTTCTTGAATGAAAAAGAAACAATGTTAAATAGAAAATAATATTTTTAAATCAAAGATTATAATTTTCTTAAAGTAGAATTAAATAATTATATATTCTTGAGGTGACAATTACAATATTAAAATAAGACTATAATATTATTGAAATTTAAAATTATTAAATTCTTCGAAAAACGATGTATGTATGTATGTATTAAAACGATGTATATTTGTACACAAAAAAAGGACATTCTTGTTTTGAAAATATATTTAGTTTTAACATGGAAATGAGATTATATTGTGTTAATTTAAGAAAAATATAATTGCTTACTTGAATGAAGTCATTTTATATAGTTCAATCAAGAAAAATATATCCTTATGATTTAAGATTTAATTTTCTTGAATGAAAAAGAAACAATGTTAAATAGAAAATAACATTTTCAAATCAAAGATTATAATTTTCTTAAAGTAGAAGTAAATAATTATATATTCTTGAGGTGACAATTACAATATTAAAATAAGACTATAATATTGTTGAAATTTAAAATTATTAAATTCTTCGAAGAAGATTAATAAATTAAATTGTTGTGTATACGAAACAATGAACACGTTAATTTAAGTATATAAGTTTTGATTTGACACTTATTTTTTTTCTGTGTACACACCTTAGGGAATCTGCCCTAAAGTGATATATAGGATCACTGAATGAGCAGGTTTGATTGCTCGGAGAACGATTAAATTACTTTTCTACGAACATATATTTGACTGAAAATGGATTTAATAAATATAAATAATACATTAATAATATGAATAATATAATGTATCTTGTTTGACTATTTTGCTTTCTCAAGAATTCAGACTTTTTGCCTCAGTTAATCACTTAAACGTTCACTCGAAGTATTTTATTGATTAATTTAAAAATCCAAGTATCTCTAGTGATCCAAGACAGAATTTATGACGTTATTAATAACTCTTAGAGCGACCAAACTTGTTTTAAAACGCCAATGAATATTTTTATTGACTGTTTCTTACGGTATTTTTGATATTACACTTTTTCAACTAATAATATCAAATTATCCATGACTAAGCTCTTGATGAAAAAACATCATAATTTAATTTTTTTTAATTAAGCTGGAATAAAATCCTGCTTTAAAATTTTACAAATTTTATTAAAAACACTAGCATCATATAAGAATGTTCGAAGTTTAATCTGGATCCTCTCGCAGGTGAAGGCTGCGTTGAGAAGCCTGTATCGACCTTATGGCGGAACTATATGACCAGTAGCAGACCCGACGTCTCCATGAGGTTGACGATAACTAACGGCGGTCTGACTGCAACCACAAAGGATCACGGCATCACCGAATATTGGGCCCACCGTGTGACCTATTGCACGGCCCCAGTTTCGCACCCGCGACTCTTTGTTTGGGTATACCGACACGAGGGTCGCAGGTTGAGGCCCGAATTGAGGTGCCATGCCGCTCTGTGCAGCAAGGAATCCACCGCCAGGAGACTCGCCTCTATTCTGAACTCCAGGCTGCAACAGGCGCTTTTAGAATTTCGCCGGGATAAGGTCTCCAGGCAAAATGCCAGGTAAGAATGACAGTATCGTGTGCCATTAGGAGCAAATTACATCAGCCAGAAAATTGTTTATTATTTCAATATTAAATTATTAAGAATTATTTGTTAATTATTTAAAAAGAGTTAGCGAATCAAAAATTAATATCAATTATTAATAGAATAGAATTATTAATATTAATAGAAGTTGGTATTCTTTTGTCAGAAAGGATAGAGACAAGTGTAAATGGAAGGAATTACGAAATTTATAAGATTGATATTTATTTGTGAAATTAACGGGTATCATCTAAAATTTACAAACAGCGAGAATTAGCAAGTGACGGAATTTGTGTGATATTTACCAGGAATTAGAACTGTATTAGAAAAAATTTAATAAGACATACATTGCGAAGTACATTCGAGCGTGTCTATTTAATGTGCTAAATAAAAAAAAAATACATAACATTTTTTTTCCTTCTATTTCGATCGATTATCTAAGAATCATTCATATGTAACTTTTTATTCAATTTTTTTTTTCAATTATTTGGGAACTGGTTTAATGAACGTATTAATATAAAATTAATATAAAATATAATTTTATAATTTATAATAATTATTATATATGTATAATGTTTTAATTATATATAATATATATTATATATAATTAATAATATATATAATATATATATATATAATATATATAATATATAATATTATATATATATATAATATATTATATATATAATATATAATATAAATTATATAATATATATGTATAATGTTTTAATTATTTAAGAACTGGTTTAATGAACGTATTAATATAAAATTAATATAAAATATAATTTTATAATTTATAATAATTAATATATATATCTTTCGCTTCTAATTGAAATGAAACAGATCAATCGCGCGACATAATTTTCTAAATGCGGAATTCTCCCAGTTTCCGTTAGACTCATTTCCATGTCGGGCAATGGCGCGCATTCCTAGCATTTTTGTCATACCACATTCGTTATATCGTCGTTACGTCGACCATACAAATTAAGTCCCACCGCTTAATTGAAGAGAGAGGAGAAATTTTCTATATCTCTGCTCTTCTCGGGCTCTCTTCGAAAGAGGAAGAGAGACGCAGTTACGCATGTTTATGCATCCACCGTACAATCACGATTCCGGTCACGATTGTAGATCGATGTGCGCAATGTGATCGAGTCACGATCCAGGTCGAGAAGTGATCACCGGTCGATTTACATACATTCGGATCAGTTTCCAAGTCATAGGTCAAACATTAGTACTCCTACTGGCATTGCATTGACTTGCTACCTCTTCCAATGTAATCAAGTCATTCAAAAATTCGTCTTTTCTATTTTAAAAAATATATAAGGAATAGATAAAGCTAAATTTATATAAGGAATAGATAAAGATAAATTTTAATAAGCGATGAACTGTATAATTATTTTATTTAATTCTATGATCTTAGTAGCTTTTATAAGAGTTGGACATTTATGAGATTTCTCTTCAGATACATGTCAGCAGAGGCAAGATAACGTATAGCTAACAAAATTATCAGATTATCAAACTATAAGAATTATTACATATATGTAAATCAGCAAAGGGAAGATAAGGTATAGCTACAAAATTATCATAAAAAAAACATATAATAAAAATATATAAAATATATAATTTTTTTATAATTTTTTATAATTTTATAAATATATAATTTTATTAGCTATACCTTATCCATACCTTATATATAAATATATATAAGATATAAATAAGATATAGCTAAAAATTATCATAAAAATTATCATAAAAAAATATACAGAATAATAAAATCTGTTTCTATTAAAAAAAATTGCTGAGAAGATTAATGCTGTTTATTACGAAATCCATAGCTGAGAGAAATGTGATTATGGCGACACCTTCTACTGACGAGGATCGATTATCATGATATGTTTGTGTGTATTACAGGTTGTCTCTGGCGAGCGCGTTGTACGACAATCCATCGTTGCCACGTAGAAAGCTTCTTTTAAGCACTGGTGGCCAGAATTATCGACCGCCCTTGGAAAGGTCGAAGAGCGCACCAAAGTTATCAGCGATCGAAGAGGATACGGTAGCCGAGGAAATAGAACAGCAGAGGTTGCTGGATGAATTGCGCTCCTTGGAAACCGTGGCCCGCAGCTGGGAGGATCAGGACAGCTGGAGGATAGCCAGGCTATTGGACGCTCTCAATCGCGAATCCTCTGACGAGAACGGTAGCATCTCCAGCGGATGCGAAACCGCCAGTACAGCGACAAGCGAAGAAAGAGCCATAGGCGTAGAGGAGCATCTCGCAGGAAGTTAGTATTGTTCGCAATATTTATTACGATACAGTATATCGGACTTTATCAAAATTGAGGGAAGCAAATGATAATTCTTGTCCCATGCGCCTTTTTTAAAAATTCCATATTGTAGAATATTATGCAAGACCAATTACACAAATGTAATGGACTTACAATTATGCGCAATTATGGCTTGTCTAATATTTGAGATAAACGAGAAACTTGAATTTGTAACCTTGCATGTTTAATTTTTCAATGCGACTGTAATATTGTGAAGCTATATTTATAGTTAGAGAATACTTACCTCTAACGTTGAAGTTAAAATTATTGTGCATGTGACTAATTACTGATATCGCATTTATTTCGAGCGCTTTGTTTAGTTATCATTTCGAAACATTGACTCTATTTTTCTGCTCATTGTCAATATATTTTCACTTTTAGAAATTTATATTTTTATATTTTTATATTTTATATTTTTATATTTTATATTTTTATTTTTAGAAATATTTTAGAAAGGGCGTATGACGATAAGAATTTTGATATTTAATTACGAAAAGAGCAGTTGCTTGACGAGTTGTACCAATTGATGCATGAAGTCATAATATCATTTCTCTTGAAAACTTGCTTACCTTTAAAACTTTTTCAGATCAAAATGATCAGCGAGGCTCAATCAAAAGGATTATTCTTTCGGAAAATCGAGTTAGCAAGGAACTAGGACCACGAAGAAATTCAGAGGGTTCGGCTCATTTTATGACATGCGTTGGCAGTCCTCGTTTCAATCCAGATTCCATGAAGAGGTTTCCTCTAAGAAGTGAGGAAGAAGAATCAATGGAAGAAGAGGAAGAGGAGGATACTGCTTCAAATATGTTTGATTTTGAAGATATCGAAGATCTTGATGATGTAGTGGATTATCGACCGAGAGGTGAAGTGTTGAATAGGATCGAAGAACAACAAAATAGAGAAAGGCGAACGAACGAGAAATATCCTGATAGGACAAGCCATGAATTTCTGCAAAACGAAGAAACTTCGTTTCTAACTCTGGATTCTCTCGACGAGGAAGCCGATAGCGATGAGAGTGGTTACGTGGAGGCCCCACCAAAGTCTTTATTAGGTCAAGATGATAGAAAGGAAGAGGAGGAGAGCGACTCTTCGCGATTGGAGTCATTCAAGAATCAGTCAGAAACCGTAACTGCGCATAGAAATATAAAAACAGAAGGAAATGAGAATCAAAGGATGAAGCATGAAGATTCCAAAATAGACAAGCAGAAAGAAATAGAATCTAAAAAAGTGGAGAAGGATTCCTTATTGGTGGTCGACGAAAATCAAAGAATCAAGGAGAGAGAAAGAGAGAGAGCGGATTTCAAGTATCCTATTTCAGAAACTATCAAGAAGTTAGCTAGCGCATCACTAAGATCCAAATCTCTTGAAATGACAAGCAGCAACTGCTTAAAAGTTCTAAATAATTTCAAAACCTCCAAGTCATTTGATAGTGTGAAAAATGATGAAATTACCATGGAATCGCCAAGTCTTCATCAAAGGAAGCAATTGTTGGCGCAGCGTGGTGTTATGGTTTGAAAAATTCTTTTATCTTATATATAAAAAAGATTGAATGGAAATTGATGAATGAACATTTGTTCAACATCGGGTTTCCATGAACAATCAAAGATACTTATAACTATATTCCACAAAAATATCGAGCGTTTACAAAAGGGAATATGAATTAATTTTCGATTCAAAAAGTGCCTGATCAACACTCGATTTATCAAATTTTATCAAGTTTTATTTAGTTTATTGGATGAAAATGGGTTTTAATTAGTAATATTCATCCTGGAGTCATTTTCCTTATTCGTAGTACTTATAGTACATAAATATAGATATTAATTCGGTGATGGATACACAGATCTTGTTGTTAAGAAATTCTACTCAAATAATATCAAAGTAAATTGTCAAAATATGTCAAATATGCTTTATATAGCTTCGAAAAAATTAGTTTAAATGCTTGATTGCGAATTAAAAAGCCATCATCGAGTTAAAAAATCTTCAGTACCGGAAATGTAGATCCCAAGCCGAATATTTTAAGGTATGGTTTCTCTGATAAATTTTTTAAATTTTTCAAAAGAATTGTAATTTCACAAAAAACTGTCAAAGGCAAAATTTTTAATAGATGAGGATCGAAAGGAATGTTAATAAAATTTAGCTAATCCTATTTAAAAGGAGGCAAATTAGATTGTAGTAGAGAAATCATTAAAAATATTGAGTTTTTTAATAAATTGTTTATAATAATTATAATATTATTTTATTATTTAATAACGAAGTACTGAATGTTTTAACTTTTCTTTGTTTTATCTATCCTTTTTTATTATTGTATCGCGCAAAGGGGATTATTTATTTCCGGTTCTGACATTGTTACACCAGTTGACAAGGAAAATATACCCATATTATATACAAGATGGATATGAAAATATTGAGACTATTGAATCTTTAATAATCATGCCTATTGCATGTAGTTGTAGTTCTGTGGTTAAAAAATAAAATATTCTATTTGATAGAGAACGGGTTATAGTGGAAGCAATTGATAATATTAGAATAAAATCAGTTCGTGTGTAAAATTGCAAAAGTAGTTACTTCGTTAAAATGTAATGAGCTCAATAATTTGATAATATGATTTTTCGCGTTATTCTATTACGTTTTCATGAACAATTGAAAAAGCCTGTATTAGAAAATTAGTCGTAAAAAGATGCCCATTGAATCGTTCGATTCGTTACCGATAATGCATCGCATCTTGTTGATTATATAATGTTAATGTTGGTCGTGCATGTATATTTTTGACGAATAATCAGCAGTAAATCGACAAAGCTAAGCTTTAATGTTGTGGACTAGAAAATAGTAAATGAAGGCAGTACAGTTAAAATGAAGATAAGTGACTGTGCTTGTAAATATAATTTTTTACAAGGTGGAAAGAAATCAATGTTTTTTTGTTCGTAATAATAATGAAAATAATATCCGTAAGAGATAATTTCATTTTTATTGCGACCTATGATTTGTTTTAATATTGATCCGTCTGTCATTTTCAAAAAAAGCTATTAAGTTTATTTAAATAATGCATTGGATATTAAGTTTATTTAAATAATAATACATTGGATATCTATTATTTATGCAAGGTGATATGAGAACTCGCAATGATTATTTAGATCATGATTTGTTAGATCATAAATATATTTTTAACGATTGATTACTATATTATTAAATTAAACATTTCATAAATTGATTTTCGATAATATCAAATATTACATTAGTAACGTTTATTCACGTATAATATAACATGTGTTATCATCGGTAAAGCACTAAAACAAGTATTTTGAATCGAATGTCCGGAGAATTTTGCCATCTACGCGAAATCCGAGATTGTGCCAGATACGGCCAAAGTCTCTATTGTAACAACAATCCTTGTAAAGAAAAAGAGAGAGAAAAAGATAGAAAGAGATTAGTATTATAAAATAAAATAAAGGAATCAGAAACTACCTGGTTTTAAAACCTTTTCGCTCCTTTTTGAAGTCACCTCTCGCGTTGGCATAATGACATTTAACAATATTATGATTGACATAAATCGAATGATAATTTCGGATAGCGTGCCAAAAAAAGAAAAAAAAAACAGTCTTTAATAAAGCCTCCTTAAAGTGAAATCTCCATGAATTCAAATCGAAATGATTGAATAGGAGCATATGAACTTGATCAATTTTTCTTGGCATGTATTTATGATATTATTTTGCAAATCAAAAAAATGTTTGCATGATATATGATATTAAATTAATTATTAAATATTAAATTAATTACTTTTTGTGTTCAAAGAGACTCTGAAAATCTCAAGAAAAATTCTTATATATTGTTGTGACTCACAAGTGATTATAGAAATAGTATAAACATTTACAAATAGTATAACATTTACTATAAAAAAATAATAAAAATTAGTAAATGATTTATTTATAAATGAATTTTTCTCTTTTAGAGAATATATGTAATTAAATAAATAAATATGACTGGTGTTGATGTTTGAAAATGTTTGAAATTGAAAAGTAAAATATATTAAACTTTATTAAATTTATGTTAAAAAAGGAAAGAGACTTATGAATCCACCAAAGATTTCTTAATTGAAAAGAAATAAGTAATTTTTAACAAAGATATAAAAATAAAATTTTCTTTTGTCATGTAACTCGTACATTTCTTCTAATGTGATTCGATTGCGGAAGATGGCGATAGTTATATTACAATATGTATATAAAAATATTTACTAAAAAAAACAATCAAGAAAGGTAAAAAATTACAATGGTGGAAAGGAGTTTGTAAATTGTACAAATTAATTAATGTATAAAGTAATATATATATTAAAGATTTGATATTGATAATTACATATTCAAATATCAAATTCATATTTCTTCTGTTATAATAATTTAATAAGATTTGCACGCACACAATAGTGACACTATAAAATACTGTAAGATTTAATTTACGAAATAATATAAAATTGAAAAATACGTGCATAGTGAGTTATAAAAGTATAAAGAGAAATCTATACTGATTTAAATCTAAATTTTAATCTGACTCTTGCGCACGCAATTATAAACATTCTATTACATATATATTGCTATATATATATACTTTCATCAAATGATATAAATTAATTAATTGGAGCAAAATATAAAAGTACTGCTGGAGAAATACGAGTCCGATACAATTTGAGAGAAATCTTCAAAAAGAGCGATATCTGTGTCATAAAAAAAAAAATAAATAAATAAGTTTCGATGCAACCAACAATTTATGCGCTGGTAAAAAATCGCACGACAATTCAGACGAAATGCGAAATGGTGGAATGCAATCATCCGCGTTTCTTCTCGGGCCTTGCGCGGAGTCAAGATCAAGATCAAGGTGCCGTGCCACTGGATGGGCCTGCTCGCCGGACCCGCAACCAGACTCCAGCATGAACGCGATAATGCCATGCGCTACCATCACACGCAACGTGTCGGTGTGACCTACTGAGAGCATCGAGATACGGGACGACGCACACGTACAATACCCATATACACACACACATATATACAACACACCTATATGCATCGTGCTCCGAGAAAAGAGCTGGAGCGGGGACTCTCGGAGGGGAACCGCGGCTTCCTCATCTCGCCCCTTGGGCTCTTTGCGCACTGGCCGGACCACTTCATCAAGATGAGGCGTATAAAAACGTACCTTCGCAAAGATTGCTCGCGCGCTTAATAAAGTTACACAAGACGCACGGTACGCGTGAACCTGAGAAAATCCTACAGATAAAAAAATAAATACCTGGGAAATATGTATCTTGGAAGAGAAACTTTTAGAAAATTCTTCAAAGTTCAAGTAAATGATGAAGTGACTTGCAGTTTGATAATGATATTTATCACTAGAGTGATTGTAAAGAGTACTTCAACATGATTTTAAATGATTTAAATGAATATAAAGAGAAAATTCACATTCTTCAATATTTTTTATGTACACATTAAATTAGAAGTCATTTTAATTTTATTCTATTTTATCTAGAAAAAAGCAAAACTAATTTAATTTAATAGTCTGCATTCAATTCTGAATTTAAAAAAAGATTTGGATAATTTATTAGAATACACATATATGAAAAATTTCTTTACTTTTACGACAAATTTTAAAGAATGTGAGATTGTTTACTTTTACATCACATTAAATAATAACAGTGATGCCAAAAATTGACTCAATTGTTAGATATTTTATTACGCAAAATCATGTTATTTTATTTTTTAAAACTAGAAATGTAAAGTATTTCTAGAGCCATTATACAACTATAGCATTTAATGCATTTTTTCTTTCGACGTCTCGTCAAAAAATTAACTCACTAATGATCAACTCACAGTTTTTTAACGGAGAAAAAAGAAATAATTACTTAAAAAATATTTTTATAAAAAGCAGAAACCATACTTTTTCTCTCATGTTAAACCATAATAAATACATTTCATATATATAAACAATTTACACATATATAATAATCGTCTTAAATATATATCCAACGTGACTTTTCAAATACAAGAGAGCAGCAGTGCTTATTAATATTTAATAATTTTTTGATATACAAATCTGAGAAAATAAAAACAATCGGGATTTAAACATTACATTTATATATGTTAATTAGGATCTTAATGGGGATTAATAAAAAGTCGATTACCAGAATTCTCGAGCCAACCACGTGGCATTTAAAAGTGACACACTAGCTAAACGAGGTACATATATCTTGGCTCCCTTATCTTTTTCGAGTACACCAGGTGGTACGAATTTGGGGCCATCCCGCACGGGAGTCCGACGCGCTACCTGTGGTAGGAGATGCACGTGGACCTCCATAGAGCGCACCTCGCGGGGACCCCGCCGTCCGTACATGTGCCGCGAGTCGTGTAGTGTTAACGGCCTTGCTTTATGTGGGTCATGAAACAAGGTCCCACCAGTACGGGGGAACCCGAGAGAACACAGATACTACTTAACTCATACCGGTAAAGACTTTCCGATACACACACACACACACGTACATACGTGTATACATATGCTTATACAGAACAACGAATCTCCGGCAACAACTTACGCTGACATCGAACAGTGCTTTCTATCGAGCTGTCGATGATATGGTGCACCTTTTCTCCATAGTTCGCTCGAGCATCGAATACGATCGGTGATTATAGAAAGACAGAGAGAGAGAGAGAAGATTTACAGGTAACTCTCGATATATGCGGAAATTCTCTGCGGAATTCCGTCGAAACGTAACACTACACTTGCGTACGATGTTGGGCAAACAGGATCTTAGAAGTTATATAATGCGATTTTACATTCCGCTGATTTTTATTTCAATACGCTAATATCGTATACAAATATCGTTTTTTTTTAGAATTATGCTTGGATAAGATAGAGAAGAAAAGAATTTGCTATATTTTGTATCAAAATGTTACTTGAAAAGTTAAGGTTTACAAACACATTTTATTTCTAGCATTCTTGTATTTTTACAATTTTTATATTATATACATTTTATATATTATTTTATATAATATTAACAATTTTTTAAAATCATATACATTTTTATATCATAATGAAAATGTTATATTTTATTATGTGCTAAAATTTATTATATATTATTTGATATAATTAATGTATATACATATAAATTAATATTAAATATCTTTAAAAAATTAAATTAAAAAATAAATTAATATCTTTATTTGGTTACTATAATGAATAAAATTCTCAATAATCATATACTATTGGTAACAATTGATGACAAATAGAAGCACATCTTTAAAAGATATCCATGCCAATGTATTATTTATATAGCCGTACACATTTTCAATAAATAATTAATAATACATAACGCGTACATTGATACAATTTCGATTTTTAAAGAAAGCATTTTACATAATATTAAGGTTTATCGGATTCTTCAAGGTGCCATATTATTCGCTTGAATACTGATCTGATAAAAGAGTCTTTTGAAAAAGAGGCCTTTATATTTTGTTTGATTTACCATAGGTGACACACTTTTAAAAAGAATTGGAAATTAATAGAATATTTTAATCTATTCAGGCAATCTCGTTCGTATCTTATATATACCACTGTCTTTAAAGACATGAATCTTTGTTCTCTTCGAAAAAACAGTGCACTTTGCGCGCTCGCAACGTCGAAGAATCTCAAGCTTCTCGGAACGATGAACAATTTATCGCAAAAAGAAAAAAGAAATTATTAATGATGATAATTTTCTCGCGTTTGGGGCCTCGATGGAG